TACAGCTACTCAGAATGTGCCCATAAATGGCAAATATCCGAGTTATATTCATGCGCAGACACTAATGGAAGCGAGAACAGCGAAATCTAAAAAATGCAAAAAGCCGCGACGCAAGGGGAGCCGAACCATCAACCCCCCTCACTGTCCGATTGCGAAACCTCCACTCTATCCGCTAGGCCATCCGATGCAGCGCTCTTATCGTTGATGAAACCATTGCAAGAAGCCGTTCACCCTTGAGCACATGACCCAAGTTGGAAGCTCACTTGCGGCGATTTTTCGCTTCGATTCAAATAGCCCCTTTATAAGGACCCCCACTCAGCAACTGGTCAAAGTTGCAAGTGACCTACGCCGTATAGAGGCCCAGAACGAAGCAGATTCCAAAGATTTTTTTCACTCGTTTTTTACCTTTCCTGGAAGCGCGCAGCGAAAATGAAGCACACTTTTCAGGTCCTTGCATGAGCCCCTACAATATGCAAAAAACCGTTTTCGAAAAGCGCACCACGCCCTGAACGACCTCCCTTGTTAGGGCATGTGCGACGTGATACATGAGGTTGATATCTGCGTTATGTTCAGTCCGCACCTCCTGACAAGGCCCCATTATCAATCGGGGCTGTATCAAAAGGCGTGGGTGCGTGGGTGAGCAGACCCATGGAGTTTTTTTTCTAACTGGTTATTTTCTTCCTGAAGATCGCTAGCCGACCATTCGTGGTGGAAAAGTCGGCTGAAGGCGGGCTAGGTCCGCACAAGGCGCCAACTGACTGCGACGATATCACTTAGATAGTGATCTATATGCTATCCAGCCGTAGGCATTTGGCATTCATCCATGGCATGGTACAAGCTTGTTGGCCAAGAAAGAGTTGTGCCGTTTTGCCTATGACCAGCCACTTGCAGTATTTGTCACCAGCGCCTGACGGTTTCGTGCCAAGCGACAGCGACATTCGTGTAAGGGGTCATACTACGCTAGAGACAAGATTCCAGACAAATTGAAGTTCTGACAGAACTTCCGAGGGCTGGGCAGATCGGGTAAATAGTGCCGGAATTTCTTCTGTAAGTGCGTTTTTGGAGTTGCGGGAGACCTGTTCTTCTTTTTTCCCCGACACGGGCCGAAAACTAATTCAGAAGTGGCTTTCATTTTTTTCGAGAGAAATTCCTTGCTGAAATTATGAGTTCTGGCACACTTTATTTCGGGCCAGACAGGCCATTTACATTTTATCATATACAGGAAGGGCAACACTGTTGATCTACTAAGGGGAGATGGTCGTCAGGTCGAAGTGGCCGTTTGTAATGAGACCTAGACCACTAGACGTATTTTCAGACGCTGATTTCAAATCTGCATTCCAAATTTGCAAAGCGATTCTGTGAACGGAGTTATGACGGGTCGTTTGGCTGAAGCGGCGCGGGGTCGGCGGCAGTTGCCAGCCAGCGGGCATGAGTAACCGGGATGCAGCGCCTCATCCAACGGCGGCGGTGGCACAGAGGTAAGAGTCTAGGTTCATGGGCACACGATGAAGGTTCGGATCCCGAGACTGTGGTTCGTTTTGCATTCCGTGGAGGACGTCCTACGACTATGATAAGCACTTCAAGCGTTGATGTGACCACATTTTTCAACTGGGGCTGGTGATCAGTGTGATCTACATCTTATGGGAATAGATCAAATTGTTCCGGATCAATGTCTAGAGGCTGCGAAATGACGTGGCAAGCGTGGGTTCTCATTGTGAGCAACTTCTCTGTTTTGATCACTTTGTATTGGGTATCATATTTGCTCATGAGGTGAAGGAGTCATTTTTTTGCATAGCATTATTATCGTGTATGATTTGAAGAATGTAATTCCCATAACTATAAGATGTATATCACACTGATCGCCCAGCCCCAGTTGAAAAATGTGGTCACATCAACGCTTGAAAGTGCTTATCATAGTCGTAGGACGTCCTCCACGGAATGCAAAACAAACCACACTCTCGGGATCCGAACCTTCATCGTGTGCCCATGAACCTAGACTCTTACCTCTGTGCCACCGCCGCCGTTGGATGAGGCGCTGCATCCCGGTTACTCATGCCCGCTGGCTGGCAACTGCCGCCCGACCCCGCGCCGCTTCAGCCAAACGACCCGTCGTCATAACTCCGTTCACAGAATCGCTTTGCAAATTTGGAATGCAGATTTGAAATCAGCGTCTGAAAATACGTCTAGTGGTCTAGGTCTCATTACAAACGGCCACTTCGACCTGACGACCATCCCTAGTTAGAGACCCGTTTTATTTGCAGGTGGCAACTCTCGAACATTACAAAAATACCGGTTTTACGATAAAAATGATATTCAGCATTCGCTCGTTCACTTTGTGGAATAAACACTAACGAAAAGTGTGCTGAGGGGTTTGATTGAAAGCTTCCACAGTGAGAGATTCGAGCCGACTCTCCAGGATTTGGCAAGAAAAAACTATCGTGTGTTTTCATGAGAAGTTTCCGGACCGTGAGTTCCCCAAATTAGGCGGATTAAACCCTCGTTGTCCCGCAGTTTACATGGTCACACATAGACTCAATTCCCCAGCGAAATCACTTTTAGGCAGCGTATTTATTTATTTATTTGACTAGATAACTACTTATTTGTTTATTTATGCGCATGATATGTAGGAATAGCTGAAAAGTTGTAACGAAGTGAAGAAAACTCATCTTGCCGTTTCGGGATAAATTTTGACAGAATACGACCTCTCATCAGAGTTTTCTCTTCCGGTACGACCCTTTCCCCGTTTCCCTATCCCCTATGCCGGAATGACGTCAGAAATGCTGGATGGATCAAGATGCTCAGATATGCTTCAGGGATCAAGATGCTTAGTGGGCTCGTGCAGTCTTGAGGTTTCGAGCATGTTTAGGCTTTCGACAACGACGAAAATGTCGAAAAGTTAGCCGAGTAAAGTTTTTATGTGAAATTGTAGAAGCAAGAGCAAAACGTCACTACTATTCATGTTTTATACGTTTCTTGCGTGGTACGAGACTGCTTGAAATGCGCCAGTCTCTAACCAGGATCTTCGGTCTGAGCTAAATTTTCATGTTTTTTTGTATAATTGATTCCAAAAGCGTATTTTTAATGGGCCCATTGTTCCAGCTAAAAAATGTTGCCGAACATTGGAATGGCACGTTGCAGAACTATTAATAGAACTCTTTATAGTGCACTTCTAGGAAATGTCTCTTTAAGGACGGTCGTTTGCCAGCATTTTGTGGTAGCGTTCTCGGATGGAATTCCAATTTACTGCTGCGTTCGCAGTGAAAATTGTCTATTTTGAAAGATGTGTAGGGAAACGATATGTGGCAAAACGCTCAAATCGAGTGATTCAGATGAACTGACATTTTCAAACAGGGTACAACATCGTTGTATGAAACGCATGAGGGGTCGTACTTTTCCGCTGGGGAGGGGGGTCGTATTTGGTCGTTGGGAGAAACAGGGGGGAAGGACAAGAAACATGTGCGTTTGAGAGAAATTTGCTGCGTTGAGAAAAAATTTTTCGGCACTATTCAACTATTACTACCCCAGTTTTGCGAAAACAGGCCGGATCTTGATCGACTTTTTTCTACGGGGCAGATTTGGCTGAAATTTGGGTCTTGGGGGAAATTCAACCTCGTGAACACGAAATAGTCACATCCTGACATTGGCCTGAACAGTGCCTGACAGCCCGCGCCACAGGCGCCATGTCGCTAATGGCATCTTTGGGTGCACCTGTGGGCCGGGCGCCAAGGCAGTTGTCGGAGGACGGGATGTGATAGTCGTGTTGCAGGGGTCGAATGTACCCTAGAACCGCAACTTTTCAGTTAATCTGCTCCGCTTGGCAGAAATAAAAGTCGTATCGAAGAGTCAGGCCTGTTTTTTCTGAAATTCGTAAGTAATAGCTGAACAGTGCCAGCTTCTTGTTTGTTGACTTTCGCGTGAATTTTGCCTAGATTCATACTTCTGTCTGCCTGGTGTGCCCTGCTGTGCGTAGGCAGTGTTGGGGAAGCAGGGGGGTCGATACTGACCACCTCGGTCGAGGCAGGGGTCTTACTACAGCTCCACGGTTCACAAAATCACGATGCTGTACCCTGTTTCTGGAAGGAGGCTGGAGATATCGACTTCACAAATTGACTGGTTGTTGCTGGTCTAGGGGAGAAGTCGTATTGGCGCTCTATGGGGGAGATAGTGTTTGCAATAAGCGAAGCCCCTGCGCCCATAAATTCCCCTTGGTAGCAACCTCGTTTCTCAGTAATCCGCCCATCCTACACCACGCAGACGCCTATATTCTCCAGGTTCTTACCTAATCTCCCTAGGTAGAAAAGTCTCTTCGAGTCTGTCAAAAGCATCACTCCAGCTTCTTTCCTTATAGTGTCCAGGAGACCATGAGCCGTTGAAGAAAAGACCCATTGGAGCCCGTGCAAGAGGCAGGGGGCAGGGACACCGCTGCCGTGCCTATAACATGTCAATGTGATAGTTCCAGTTAGGCCGTCACAGATGCACTCCTCACAATTACCCTGTATTCAAACAACATAATTACAAGATGCTGAATAGGCAGAGACAGACAGGAGCCAGACAGAGCACAAATTGTGCTGGAATCTGCGCCACCACAATTTAGACTCAACCAAGCAAATGGAAAAGTTTTATCCAAATTCTCCTTCCACCTAGCACGTTGGAAAACTTTTTGGATTTCTACCGAAAATGTCCAACCATCCTCTCCCTTTCAAGGCTAAGAGGGAACGACCATTGCGCTGAATCACGACTAGGCCAACGTGCAGTAGCTGTATCGTACGTACTACTGCTGCACTCCGCTTCCCACACGTGAAAAGGATCCACTCTTCACTGAGTGAAGAGCATGAAGCTCAAATCTCACGCAGCAATATTGGCTCCCAAATTTTGATCTTCTGTTTTTGGAAGAGTGATTTTGAAGCATATGATTTCAGTTTCATAATGTGGACCTCAAGAAGGCAGAGTCAATTTTGGAAACATTCGAGCAGGCGGTGCAGCAACAGAAAGATAAGCTAATGGGAATCATTGGTGAGTTTCTTTCAAACATGACATTTTGGAAGATTTTCACCATTCTTGTGCTGGAGAGTTCCATTTTCAGTCTCTGAGAGCTCTTAAATCCAAATCATGTAGTGTATATACGACAAAGTATCAGAACTGTTGCACTCGTCCGAATAAACAGATTTTTTCGAGGATTTCGACGTCTTATGCAGTCACGATGGGGAAATATTCTCAAGGAAGGGCACGAGGCGATCTGGCAAGACATGGATCAACCGCTTCCGCATTATTTCTGCAATTCAAGTCACAACACCTATCTGTCCGGTTTGCAGATGAAAGGCGAGGCTACGGTTGAGGGATATATCTACGCTCTGAAGAGAGGAGCGCGACTGCTCGAACGTTAGTTATTGTTACCGGATTTTCTATCTAGAAGGGGGGTGGGGGGCGAGATTGCTAAGCAACACACCCAAACTAATACTGGGACGGGTGCACGATTTATTACTATGTTCATAAGTACGCGAAAGAGCCCACGCATTCACCACAATGTAGGAGTTCAAGTTTGAAAATTAGTCAGTGCCGATACAGTAACATCACTGATCGGTAAGTGGCCAATGCATTTGAGCCGAAGGACAAAGGGACAAAAATTCAAGTCATGTCATCTTCAGATGCCCACAC